CCCCAAAACCCCAAAACCCCAAAACCCCAAAACCCCACATTAGTAGACAAGGATTGAGAATTATTGTTATTTTCTTTGGCCTGAGCTGACTGAAATATCAAAATTCGATGATCTCTTCACTATATTACATCATTAGTGTGACAAGATAGAGTTAACTTACATTCTTCAGAATCTAGTAAAGACTTATCAGTCTCATTACGGTTAATGTCTTTCTTTTTATGAACAGAGTTTAGATATCTCTTTCTAGATTTCTGATAAACAGCTTAAATTACTTTTTATGAAATATCTCTTCGCGAGATTTTTGGAAAATAAGGACATTACTTTCACTAAGCACTTCTTCCCATTTCTCAATTGCTTCAACTAACTCAGTAAACCCTACTATCAGGGAGAACAGGAAGAAGTTGGAGCTGAAGATATTGATGATATTATTTTTCAATGACTTCATCAAAGAGGGGCTTTAACTGCTTAGTGCCTGGCTTGTCTACAAAACTAAGCATGAAGGCTTACCTTTATTTGGAATCAAATATTTTTAACCGGTCGATTTGGGCATAGATGAGGTCCTTGAGCTTATTTGTACTGCTCCAAGAAGGCTTCTAGGCACTAAATGTAAGGTTGGAATGGGACGATGAGCCAGATTCTGAGGATTTGCGAAGGAAATGGGTTTAGATGGGGTCAAGAGAAATTAGAGATGATATGAAGATATGAGCGTTCTGATGTGAACAGAAGGAATTTTGGACCGGAAGGAACATTTTTTAAATTTTTATGTGATCGGAGATTGGGTAGAATTTCTGGGATAGATTTGGAGAATAAACTAAATATTACATTTTTGTAAGCTGTTAAATAAAATGATTTAGGACTAATGGAGATTTTCTTTACTTATATTCTAAACTTATTTTAGTCTCTAATCTGCATAAATTTCATATACTTCTTTCCCTCCAAAAGCATATTATTTAACCCGCACTATAGTCCAAAATCCGATTCAAACCCTTTAAAACTAACTTCTAGCCTTCTCAGATCCCTCCTAACCTTACTTTTGCATATTTTCTAAATACTACCTATTCACTTACCTGAAGTACACAATTAATTGTCTTGTTACCTAAACCATTAATAAATTACATTACTATCGCCTTCTGCATTCTTTATCTCCATGAGAAGGAAAGCCATCTCAACTTTTACCTCTTCAAGAATTTCTTCCGGGATGCCTTGGATCAGCTGGAAGTATTTCAAGATTCACTGGAGACTAAACTTGTAATTCATTGTGAATGCTTGGATAAAGGCCTCCCCATTCCCAAAAATAGACAGCCTTTGAGTAGAGAAGAGTGTCGAGGGAGCTTCTAAATGAGTCATTTGGTGGTCAAGATATTCTGTTGCCTTCGACCTTATTGGTGTTTGCGATAAAGAGAGATGTTTTATCTTCAGGGGATTCTTGTCAAGATGGGTTTTGCTTTTAGCCAACCTAATCTCGGTAAAAGTCTTCTTCATTTTCAATAAAAATTTAATTGGTTGGGGTTTTGGGGTTTTGGGGTTTTGGGGTTTTGGGGTTTTGGGGTTTTGGGG